GCCCGGTGAGCCCCCAGTGCTCGGCCCAGGGCCAGGAGCCGGGGTTGGTGTGGGTGGACCGGCCCCACAAGCAGAGCGACACTTGTAGATTCCAGCCGGGCCTTCTCAACGAGGGTGAGGTCTCGCGGCGGGCCTGCATTGCCGTCGGCGTCCAAAGGCCTGACTTGTAGGCCGGCCACCATAGTGTCCCCAAGCAGCCCTAGGGACGAGGGCCAGCTCTTTGACGCGTGACCCTCAAAAATCGGGTATCACCCCTTGAGACCAAAATGGCCACGGGATGACACCTTCAATCCCGCCATCCACGCTAGCGATTGTCATTACAACACGACGCAGGCTATGTTTCTTACAGCAAGCTGAATCAACTGCTACAAGAGGACCCTGGAACGCTGGTGCTCGAAGATAAGGTGACCCTCTCGAGTCTTGCGGAAAAGGCGGGCGTGGATCTTACGAGGATACTGACCCGAGAGTCAGCGCGCGGATCCCCACCGGCAGCAGCAAGGTTCGAGGAGGAACCGCCAAGGCCCCCTCCACCACCACCAGAAGCTGCTTGTGCTGCCGATGAGGACTTTCTTCGCAGAAGGCGAAGAGAACGAGCGGAGCGGCTCCCTCGAGAGGACCCGCCGAATCCTACGTACCGTGGGGAACCCTATGGTGTTCCGGATCCACCTCGGCTAGCCGAGGAAGCCTTGAGAGGTCGCCGTGAGCGAACTCGAGATGTGGAAGTCCAAGTGGATCTGGGAAATGCCCCGCGTTGTATTCACAACCCCTTCTGGTTCGTGTATACATGCTACGAGGGATTGCGCACGCTGAACAAATCGACGAAGTATATCCAGAAAGATGTGTGCGCAAGATGTATCCCTGGACAGCGAGAGGTCACAGAAGGGCCTCGTTAATTTACGTGAGGCGATGAGCACCTCGCCCAAAGACCTCTCCGTGTAAAGTCATAAAGCAACCTAAGTGGAGCTGGGGATGCTTGATGTGGAACCCTTGATGTTTCATGCTGACGGCTCAGCGGATGGCCCGAGGGCCTGGAATCGGCGTTTGCCATGATCGGCAGAAGCCATGCGTTGAGCATGATCAGCAGAACCCAGCAAAGCAACATGCTACTTAGGCTGTGCACAGAAGCGCCTGAGTACTTTGCAGCTTGTGGACCTTTGAAGAGAAAAGTCTGTGTGCGAGCCATGGCCTGCTCCTGAGTATCTTCTTTCTCTAACCTGTAACAACGATACTGCGAAGAAGACGTCAAGACCTGAGAGCCAGAGAGCTCTTCGAGTCGCTACACAGTAGCAGTAGCAGTAGCAGTAGTAGTAGTAGTAGTAGTAGTAGTAGTAGTAGTAGTAGTAGTAGTAGTAGTAGTAGTAGTAGTAGTAGTAGTAGCAGTGGCTGTAGCAGCAGCAGCCGGCAGCTGTAGTAGTACTAGTGGTGGTGGTGGTGGTGGTGGCGGTGGTGGTGGTGCGGATAATGAACAAGTTAGTAAGAATAACGAACACCCTTAAGAGTGACCGTGCAGAAAGTACGTAGTCCCGTAAGAGTCGCCAAAGTATCATCACTAATCATCACGCAAAACATGGTTAGCAGCAGTAGCAACAAGTAAGCCCCCCCCCCCAGTAACAAATATGACACAGCGAGGCTCGCTGGGCATCTGGCCATCCGTAGCGCTGAGGATATCCGTTCGCTGAATTCCGAGGAAGGCAACGGTTCGGATTGCATGACACAAGCGCCTCGGCTTTGCTCATTGTCAAAGTCGAGGTTGCCCGGTGACTGGACTGGGGATGCCCAAGGCGCAGGCATGATCCCGTCTGCACGAGGTGCAGCCTTGCCTGCCGGATCCACCGTCGGTATATCTATGCAAGTCCTGGGACTGCGCCACAATCGTTATCCATTAAGAAGCAGAATCAGAAAGCCATCGACAATCCATGTCTGGTGTATGTTACTGTATGGACGTAATTTCTTGTTTGATCGGGACGCGGCCTCTGCTGGAATCAACTCGCGGACCTCTGTTGTTTAAGCTCAAACGCAGTGCGAGGAAGTCGCTGGTTTCCTGAAAGAAGTGCTTCGATCAGTGCTTGCTGAATGTGATCGAGCAAGCGTGCAACGTCCAACCGGACTTGGGTCAGGGGCCACTTCTTCATCCACACCTCCGTCGTCAATGCGCCGCTTTAAGATCCTGTCAGTACCGTTTGAGGGAGGAGTAAGACGTTGGGCTTGCAGAGTGCGGAAATCTGTTTAGGAGCCTGGGAATGTCGTCCAGCTCGTCGTGGTCCACGGAATCTTCCTGAATGCTTTCGCAAACCTCAGGCAGCTCGGAACTGCCATAAGTTGGGTTCTGATGTCATCAGTCTTTTCCGAGCAGCTTCGACCATGGCAGGATACTGAACATACAGCAAGTCGGCATTCTCCACTTCGAGCTTTTCCAGGAAAACATCCAGCATCACGAAAGACCTGAAGCATCTATGACAGCTGTCCAACCATTGCGAATGTGCTGAGCACCAGGTCTCTTGCACTGATCTTTTGAGCATCGCGATGATGAAATCATGCTCGTGCTCCCGCGTGGCCTTCCGATTCGCGGTTCTGCAGTTCTTGCAGCTACTTTCAGACTTCAACGTCTTTACTTTGGACTGCGGCCTGGAGGAGACGCTGGTCGAGACCCTTTGACTGCTTCTCAAACTTGAAGCACCGGTCCTCTCTGCAACTCCGATGTCGCGCGAAATTCAATGTGCAGAGCTCTGAAGGCAGCAGTGGATGCTGCACCCAACAGTCCTCAATCAAATCAATGACCTCTTCGACTGAAGCTGTGTAAGTGAGCTCAGCAGACAGCCAAACACCTTCTCTGTAAATTTCGGCATCAGCCCGTGAATCACCCGCTTGGCCATGCTGACCTGGCGCGTTATGGAAGACATGACTTCCGGGCTGCAGAATATCATCCCGGCATGTGTCTGGTGCGCCACGCAAGCCTTCTTCCCTCCAGCTTCCAATCCATCTAGATGGTTCACTTGGCCAGTAGCATTGGACTCCTTATCTGGCTGTTCTTCGAAAACGATGGGAACAGGCAGTCAGTGAGCTTGAGAGCATGGTGGGATCAGCTTGGATTCAGGCGGTCATGTGGCCGGCCTCCTGTAACAAGTCATGTCCGACATTTCATCGATGAGCCATTAGCGAAACACAAGAGAGATGGCTCGCGTATGCCACCGTCCTCTTCTGCATCCTCCCTGGATTGTTGCTGTGGCTCGAGATCAACTTGTGCGAACTTGAAGCCAGAGACTAAGTCACTAAGTCGTGCCGGCAGTGCTCATGGCCAGCCACCACAGGCCGCAGAGCCTCGGCTTGCCTGCGATCTGCGGTGCCCACTGGCGCTAGGCAGATCGAGGCAGATCCATGCAGCTTCGCAGTTTGAGACGGAACCCTGCGCGTCTGAGCACCGACCTTCGCTGCCCTTATGATGACCTCTGGAGAGAATGCCTGGAGCCAACAGTCCAGAGGAGAGGAGGCACTTTGGGTAGGAGTGGGGGACCACCATTCAATCCCGATATGGTTGCAACAGCTGCTGTCCTCACTCTGCAGTGAGCGTTCCCAGTCTGCAAGTGTCATTGCCAGGTCAGCTGTTAACATGTTGAACATTAGGACTAGGATACCCTGAAGAGCTATGCCGGACCTGCCTTGGGCGAAGTCAGGGCGACCATCCGAGGATTGGAGACTGCTAGCTGGAACTCGGCGGTGTCGAAAAGGCAGCGACTGCGCCTTAGCTGCGTCATGCACGGCACCATGTGGCGTACAACAGGTAACCTGGACCCGTGCAGTGTGACGGTATGGCATCCCAGCAGCTGCAATCTCACCTTTAGAACGGGAGTCAGGGAAGGGCAGCCAAGGGCAGCCCGGCAGCCCTGAAGGCTTTCATGTTCTGGCGGGCCTTCACTCGGCCTAGGTTGCTGGACATGTTCTTCAAGAAGACGACGTCCTTTCCTGTGAGGCTATATATTGCTTTGCAGAAGCACCTTCAACACATGCTGACCATCCCTTGTGGGGCGTGTGCCGTTGACTTCGACCTCGAAGTAGACTTGGTTGCTGACAAGTCCTGCATGTCGTCTTAGATACTGAGCACCTATCTTTTCATTTCCGTGCAATGGCCTTCACCAGCTGTCCCATGCCCCCTCCATTGATGGCCATCCTAGGTGAACTGGCAGGAAGTATGCATGTGTCATAGTCGGGAGAAGTGCTGCCGCATTTGCATTCGTGGTCTCAGGATCACACATTTCCCTTGCGTTTGTCTTTCTGCAGCGACAAGCCATCGCCTCACTTTTGACAGCCATGTTAGCCATGTTCCGGAATTACATGCCAGAGCCCAAGGAACCTTGCCAACGAATGCCGCAGAAAGCCAGAGGAGGGGACCGTGCTAGACAACACCAGCAAACTAGCACGTTCAACGTTCATACGGCAATAGCAAGGAAAGAGAGAGAAAGAGGGAGACAGAGAGAGACAGAGAGTGAGAGAGATGCGCTTGACTTGAATTTCGGCCTACAGGCTGCTTGGAGCAACTTGTATAAGACCAAAAGTGTTGGACCAACGCTGTCTTTGGCGAGAGAAGCGGAAACTCCGGGCACCGACGACCGATCTTCCATCCGCTGTGCTCAATGGGCGATACAGCCATTCCCGACCCGCTGATGATTTCTTTGATTGTACCCACTTCTGGGACAGCTACAGGAGACTTTAGGCTTAGCCGATGAATGATACATGTTAGCAGGCTACCACGCAGCAACAATTGATGCGACCATGCAGAACAGCGAACTTCAACACACAAGGCTGTACACTAGATTCACTAGATGGAAGCAGTCTTCGCCTGGTCGAAGTACATGGACTTCGCAGCTAAACTCCTGCCGGCAGCAACGCAGTTCCGTCCGGTCTGAATCGCATTTTGCTGGTGGGGCCATGTAGAGCTCGGTCCTGCAACAGATTTTCCTCAGCGGTCAGCTTGAAGCTCAAGCCTGGTCGTGGTTTGTTGGATCTCACTTTGCCCTCTTGGCGAGCAAACATCGCCTTGCAGTCTCTGCACGATCTCCTTTCCGCTCCTTGTTGGGCGGAGGAAGGAAGCCCCCATGGAAGCGAGAATACGCCGGCGATAAGGCCGAGACATCACTTCCCCTGAGCAAGAAGGTGGGGTGCTGGATCAGCTGTCGGCCTGAGTTGGGGAAACCACAACAGGAAGCCTGCAAAAGCAAGCGCCAGAATCAGAGATGCAGGCGCCAGAGATTGACGTCCACATGGAGCGACTTCGCCGGCCTGTCGAGATCCAAAGGAGCTTCGGGACTAAGGGACACGGCCCAGGGTGCAGATGGGGAGCACCATGTCTGGCATCTCCACCAGCTCATACAGAAAGTCCTGGCAAGATGAGTGTCAGAGTACGGGGGTGCCGGAGTCGCTGGAGCTTTGCTGGGATATGAAAGATCCCTGTGTTCATGGGGCATCCGTCCTGGAGACGCTCCGGCTGCTTGATGCTGGTGTCCGACTGCGGATTGCGTTTGATGTCAGGTAGCCTGCCACCAAAGTCCGGCCGGAGCCACCATGCCGAGAGACGGAAAGACAAAAGACCTGCACATCAACCTGTCTCTCTGATGTGAAGATGCAGCCTCCAACGGCTCCAGGGTCTGGAAAGCTGGAGTGTACATCTCATCTTCTTGACCAACGAACCTCGATGCCTCAAGGACTCAAGAACGTGCAGGCTGCACGAATGGGACGCATCAGAAGATTAACGTCTGTCTACTCCTGAAGACTGAGTATCGTGCAAGCCCACGACGGTCGACCGGTTCCGAGGGTTGCCTCCACACGCGGCACCGCCCGCCGGGGGTCAGGATATCTTTGGCTAAATACCCGAGGTCACGGAACTTGTGAGCATTGGACATTGAACTGTCACTTGAGAGCAGGGCCACGAAATCTAGGGTTTAGGGTCGAAGCATGCTGTCGTTCTGACAAACAAATGATAACTGGCAACAACTCTACAAACGGCTGATCAATAACATGAGTGACGCTTGCAAGCATGGCATTCAAGGGGGAGGGGGGAGGGGGGGGGCCTGCTAGGGGGGGTCTCCTCCCCCCTCCCCTAAATCAATGCCTGCGCGGGCCCTTTAGTGTCGGGAGGCGGGACACCTGAACCAATCAAACCAGGGGCGGGGGGTGGCCCCCCCACTCCTCCCCGGCAGCGCTTAATTCCTGTCATTTCATGCCTGTTAAGGCCGCAGGCCTTCGTTGGACCCACCTGAACACTGAGGAATTGTGAACGACAACTCTGTCGAGTTCGGACACACCCACGGTCTACTGCCTTCTTCATCGGACTCCTGCAAGGCAAACGACATCAGCAGTGCTTCACGGAACAGCTTTACTCCCGCTTGCAGCTGAATCCAAGTCCAAGCGATTCCGCTGCGCTTGGCGCTCTACAGCACATTCAGCCGAGTTCCGTCCTCGTCCAATCCAGCTCCAGCCCCGTGCTGCTCTCCAATGTCGGGATCGCCCCGAGTCTGTTCAACTATCTGGAAGTCCTCCAGGCTTTTGGGTGCATCTCAAAACCGGTATAAACGAAGGCAACGGACATATCGAGCCTGCTCCATGCCCACTCCGAGCCGCTGCAGGGTCTTATGCTTTGCAGCTTCTACTTCGCTCCGAGCGCTGTCTGAGTACAGACTTGGGCTGAGGCTCAAACGCATTGCTTTTGCCCAAAGAGAGGATAATGTGCATCAGCTCCTTGATTGCATCTTCGAGGCCGCGCGACTTCTCTGCAACGTCTCTAGAACAAGAGGCTAAAGGCTCCTGGTCAACGCCCCAGTCTTCAGCAGCCCAATCCTGCTGCTTGAACAGTACCTGCATGGGACAAAACTTTACTCAAGAGGAAAGCACTGCAGGATGCAGTAATATAGCCTCGGCGATACATAGGGATACTGCACTCGCGCCTTAAACAGCTCGCCGATGATGTCTGTCCTCGGCAACAACTTACGATACATTCGTGTGATCGGCGTGGCTCAGCTCAGATCCAGCATGTTGGCTCTATCATCATCGCCTTCTCCCTCTGCGTCGCCATGTGCCTGCTGATGCTGAAGTCGCAGAATCAGACTGAAGACTTGAAATGCAATATCGGACTGTCATTCCAACCGTGACTGCAGGCAGCTACCTCAGCTAGTTGTGCGTCAGCCCCACAGAAACGAAATCTCTTCATCACATGGAATCCTTGTGTTTCGCTTCGTGGTCGGTCGTACTATCTTTGCAGTGGGCTACAAGGAATGTAAGCAGGCATGCAGGCTTGATGATGTGTCGACATGCATGATGGCGATTCCCACCGGAAGGCGCTGGCTGCTATCAGCAAGACAGTTATTCCCAGTCTGCATATTGCACATTAAGCAGGTTGGCATTGCAGGAAATGCCATCACCGGCATCGGCATTGATGCAGGCGATGTAGGATCACTTGGAACGCCACTCGAGGTTCACACCCGCTGACGCCCAGAAGGTTCCAAGTCGCATGACGGAACTTTATGACGAAGCCTCGTTGTGATTTTGATCGCCGCTGGAGACTGACGGAACGCAGCATGTCGGGTTTTCGAATGTGGTGATGCCGGAAAGAACGCGAGGGTTGCGAGGCCCTTTGCTTGCCCCGTGGTAAGCACTACTGGCGACGGAAAGACTCTCTTGGAGTTTGGAACTGCTCAAGTCACGCTGCTACTTGGCAAGGAGCAGCACGTGCCACTATCGATTTAGTGCGGTGTTTGGCGATGCCTGCCTTCCCGCTGTGCGAACCCCCCTTACCCGGAAAAGGCATAACATGAAAAAGACGAACGTCCTGTTGCACGGGGAGAACCGTGTGAGTTTTCGCAAGGCTCTCTCGCCTCTAAGCCTCACGAGAGAAGCCCTGCAACCTGCATTATCATGGGCATTCCTGGCAAAGGCCTGAGCACCAGCTGCATCGCCCTCCTTCTCGGCAAGCTCGAATGATGGCTTCGGGCGCCACTGGGGGCTGCGCTCCGGCAGCCTTTACCGTGTCGATGATATCGCCGATGTCTGTGTCACCTTAGACATTTGGGGATACGACCAGAGAGAGCTAACAGCAGCTAACAGGCGCAGGACCTAGAGAAGACCCAAGGCCGCTGCTGGCGATCGCCATCTTCACGGCATCGCCGCGGGCAAGGGCCTGGCAAAGGCGCCCCCAACCCCCAGTCTCTGACTCGACATCGAAAGAGAAGCTATCCACAGTTAGCTGCAATCACTGCAACCTCATAGGGCTCAGGACTAATGACTAATGGGATCCTTGCGCTCTGCTTGCTATGAAACTTCCACTACAGACATGCAAGTCAGGTCATACCCGTCTCAACAAGTGTACATCTTTCGGGCTGCTCGCGGTATCAGAATTGCGTGAATTGCTAAACGAGCAGCACATAAAGAACATGCTTCTCCTGCAATCCCAATTCTTCCGATGTCCTCCATCCACACAACTTGAAGGAAACCTGTGTCAAACGTCCTGAGTATTGTTGCTCTGTGTGCACAAGGTTTGCAAGCATCGAGACCGTGTGCAGAAGATATTCCGTGTGCTGCTACTCTGTCACGATCTTTGTGCTGCAGCACAGCAGATGCTGAGTTAAGCATACATCTCGACCATACTCGCGGGCAAACCTGCTGCATGCACTCCAGCGGGAAGAAGCCTTTGCCGAACTCTGAACAAGGAGTGAAGCGCAAGCTTCTGCTGTGGGACCCATGTCCTAACTTTGAGCACAAACCATTTAGGCACGATTCAGGTATCACATGAACAGGAACATTGGCCGTTCTTTGAAAGACGAATGCGAACTTCCTTTTCGACCTCAGCGAAACTACAAACTTCGACCCAGAATACCGAAACGGTCAAACTCCATGCCCCCCAACCCCCCCAAGATCCTTTATCATACATCTGGTCTGTTCGTTCGGTTGTCTTGGAGATGCAAGGCACGGAAAAGAAACCGTTGCAGCCCATGTAGAAAGAAGCTCTTGTGCCCCATTAGCATTGCCAAGAGACTTCAAAGCACAGGCTTCTTGCAACACCACGCTTTCAATACATACATTGTGCAGTGACCGAACTAGGGCTCTGAAGCTTTGCCGCGTGACGGCGGTAGGTGAAGTGCTCGCCATCTGCAGCAAGTTTCAAGCTGACGCAGTGTTGTCAGTTCCAAGGCTTTCCTACATTGTGACAGGATATCGAACCCGAATGTCTACAGACATTGGGGTGGATACTAGGCTAAGAAACTAAAGAAGAAGATCATCAGGATTCACAGGCTTTGCAGACTTGGCTCGCCAATGATCGGTCTTGGATTCTATGAGAGTTCGGCATTGCGCTTCGAGGATGTCTGGAAACGCGATAGCATGCATCTGGCACTCTTACACCATTATGCCAGTATTCCACTATGCCAGGCTTGAAACGCGAACGTCATGCCTGTGAGACGCAGCGGTTGCCATCATTCGCACTGACAAGCTCCCGTGCAAACCTACGATGAACCCCAGACCAACACCCAACACCCGCTGAAACAGCAATGAACGGTCATCAGTACGGCTTCGAGCGCCCCTGAGCCTATGAAGCGGCTGTAGTGGAAGGGCAGCAGCGGCAGATGGATGAACTCAAAGGCGGGCTGTAGGCTTCGGCTTTCGCGCAAATCTCACGGAGACGAACGCGGTTGGTCTTGCAATATTGAGGACGGGCTTCAGGAAATAGCGGTCATGTGAGTTCCCGAAAACCGGAGCCCATGCAAAACATGCATGTGGTACAGATACAACGGCGGGAAAGCGGAAAGCAAACGCCAGAGAGGTTGAGACCCTCTTCTTGCTGCTTCCTGAAAACGAACCAATCTACCACCGTGGCTCAAGTTTAGGCAATGGTGAGCTGCCGTGGGCACGGGCAGGAACGAGCAGTCCCCGAGCCCGCAGCAGCCAAACACCCCCCACGCAAGAACCAAAAAGCCTGCAGAGCACCTGGTGGCCCTACACCCTGTAATCCAGAATTGTTTGCTGCCTCGGGCGAACATGGAGGGCGGAAAGTTGAAGCCCATGACCACGAAGTCCTTCTTACAGCTTTTCCCGGCGCTTCTTGTGCAGCTTGGATTGAAACAAGTGGTCCTTTTTTGGTGTTTGGTCGGCACTGTTTACACGATCTTGGAGGGCTGTATATAACCGGGTGTAACTGTCTGGCTTGGATGTCTTCTGCGCTTTGTACTCAGTGGCCCGGGTTTAAGCTGACCCGCAGGGTCCAACTTCCAGTTTGTGGTCTAGCTTTGGGCTACTGCAAACTGCAGCCTCCGTGCGTCGAGGGCCACGATGGGCTCCTATATTGGGCTTTGCACTTCCGGGACCCCACTTGCCGCTCACCGCAATGCGAGAGACGTACTTCCGAGGGCCCGGCTGTCAGATCCTCCCGTTTGTCTGGCCTGAAGAAATGATTATGTGAAGCTTGCTTTCAGCGAAGGTTCATGATCTGTGCTTTGTGATTTAGCTGGCAAGTCGCCAGTGCCGCTGACCCCCACTACGACTGTGACTGCGACTCTCGACGACCGCCGCGATCAGAAGCACTCAGGCCTACCGTTAGCCACACTCGGTGAAGGGCTCGCCTAACGTTCTCCGAGTATCAATCCGAAAACTCGTGGAAAGCCGCATCGTGCTGTCCAGTACTTGACGTTGCGCCATTGAGCTGTGCGGCGGATCCTTGATCCTCACTGGTCGAGTCGGCCTCTAAGCCGGACTGTTCCTGGGTTGACGTCAACCTCCGTGGGTCCAAGAACCCTCAAAACGTGTCCGAAAAGACTCCAGAATGTTAACCCCTACACCTGAAATTCCGTAACCCCAAGTCCTAAAACTCAATGAATTTCAACCCTGAACCAGGCCTGGGATGTCCATTCCAGACCTTCTCCCTGTAGGCCTGCAACACGAAGCTTTAAGGATCTCCTGAGGCCCTTGGGGAGGGTTGGGTTTGTCGGATCAGAGTTTCTGCCAAGACGAAAGTCGACGAAAGCTTAAGGGCACCGCATAAACTGCTTGATACAGCGAAGACCTGGCAGGTAACAGCCAAAGAGAGATACCTATATTGTCCACGCACGTGTGCATAGACAGCCGCGCGCACAGGTCTTGGCTCACATAAGGGTATTTATTCAGTTTCGAGTTGCGCTGGAGCGGCGTACACTCGACTTAAACAAACCTGCAAGATGCAGCACGATCTTCCCTGAAATTTTCGGCCCTGAACCCGTTCACCGGCTCTACGGGTCTTCGGCGAGGGACTCGAGGGCGGTGTGCCCAGTAAAGAGCTGACCGGAGACACGAGCCTCGTCTTTCCAACACCTTGGCTGTCTCGCAGCGGGGGGAAGGGGTGCCGGCATGAAGTCGAGTGACGGGAGCTCTATAGACAGACGGATGGAAGCTTCAACAGCCATCTGAGGCATGTCAGAGATCTCTGCAGCCAGTAAGCAGGTCGAGGATCCCAACACCAGGGGAATGGGATGCATTTGCAGAACAGGGTTCTTGCATGCTGCCAAGCGGGGTACGAAAAATTCGACATGCTGCAACATTGGAGCGAGCTGCCGTCCCCCAAGCTTCAACCCCATCTGAATATAAGCTTACCGATAACACTACTACATTCATAGAACCGAATCCAACCGAAGCCTATCCTGCTCCCAAAGCCCGGCTTATCGAGAGTGCCTTTTCCTGCCGAGCAGCTGCTCCAACGCCGCCTCGGCGGCGATGCACCGCAGCTCTAAGATGAGCCTCAGACCTTGCAGGACCGGGAAGTGAATGGCTTCTAGTCCGTCTCCGGCAATGCTAGGCAAGACGTCAACGTCGGCCTTGTGCTAAGTGTCCCATCACCTACCCACCGTACGTTCGCAGCTCGTGATGGGTCAGTGAAGAGGTACCTGCCATGCACTTAAAGAGCATCTCTCACGGTGCAGGTGCTTCCTTGATGTCGCTTTCGGAATGCAGCTTCA